AGCGAAATAGAAAATTCAATTCCTGAGAACACAGTCTTCTTCTCTTTCTGTAGAGTCAAATTTTAAGGGGCAAAATATTTATTCTAATTGTACCTTCAATAACTGTTCATTTTAAAAAGTAAATATTTCCATATTTTATTTTGATTATGCATTCGTGGAATTGCCGTACTAAATACCATTCGAGCTCAGATTTTGAGCAGGATATTTTTTTGCTTGCTCTCTCATACTTACTTTCATGCAATTTATCTCGATCTGTTCCACAAAATCACTCGAGCTGCGCTCTCGTGATTTTGTCGGAACAGCTCTCGTTAAATTTCCTAAAAGTAAGTATTCGGGACCAAGCCAAAAAATATCCGGCTAAATCTGAGCTCTTATGGTATTACCTACGATAATATAAATGACAATTCCACTCATGTATAAATAATCCCATTTGAAATGTCAAAAATCGTAGTTTGCTAGCGGATAAATAGGAAGGAAGAGAAAATATAACTGGATAAAAAAATCGGATAAATTTTCTGTTGATGAAATCGTTACCGTAGTAACAGTTGCATATAAAATTGGTTTTTGAATCATCTGTCAAATAATTGTCACAAAAATTCACAAGTTCTATCATTTTAGCTTATGTCGGAGAGCCAGCGCCAAAAAAGTGCAAGAGTTTCATGAAAGCTGAAAATGTAATATAAGCTTGTATTTGTGATGTATATAACTATACTCGAGTCAGCAAGTGAGGTAGCGGGACAAGCTACGCCCACGCACCTTTGAATGTGTAAAAAATTAATCACGATGAAAGAGTTTCATGACAGCTGAAAATTTCTCAATCCATTGTTTATTTGATGAAAAACATGACGGACATGGTCAGATAGCATTATGTTAGGACAACTAGAGTCAGCATGCTGTTTTTCATCAAATAAACAATGGATTGAGAAATTTTCAGCTGTCATGAAACTCTTTCATCGCGATTAATTTTTTACACATTCAAAGGTGCGTGGGCGTAGCTTGTCCCGCTACCTCACTTGCTGACTTGAGTATAGTTATATACATCACAAATACAAGCTTATATTACATTTTCAGCTTTCATGAAACTCTTGCACTTTTTTGGCGCTGGCTCTTGGACTATTAAAAGTGTATTTTTAAATAAAATTAAAAATATTTTCAACACGCAGCGATTTGGGACAATTAAAGATGAATTAATAGCGAAATAGAAAATTCAATTCCTGAGAACACAGAGTCTTCTTCTCTTTCTGTAGAGTCAAATTGTAAGGGGAAAATATTTATTCTAATTGTACCTTCAATAACTGTTCATTTTAAAAAGTATTTCCATATTTTATTTTGATTATGCATTCGTGGAATTGCCGTACTAAATACCATTCGAGCTCAGATTTTGAGCAGGATATTTTTTTGCTTACTCTCTTATACTTACTTTCATGCAATTTTCCTAAAAGTAAGTATTCGATACCAAGCCAAAAAATATCCGGCTAAATCTGAGCTCTTATGGTATTACCTACGAATAATATTTTTAAAAAAAGTCCTATCAGTACTGTCAATGTTGTATCATCGTCCAAAAAATGTGAATTTGTCCTTTTACACCTTTTACACCTTTTTAAAATTAATTATTTCTAGTAACGTTTTTTAAAAATATATATGTCATTGTTTTTCGTCTATATACACTAATATTTACACAACAAGAAATCCCAAGAAGCCAAAAAAAAAAAAACCAAAAAACAAAAAGAAAGAAAAAAACATGTTCTGAAGAGACACCATTTTGACAAATAAAGGTATTTTTTCACATAATGGAATTTTTTCCGTATTAATAAAAAAACTTCCAACCCTTTGTAAACTTATCGAATTTCTACTGCTAATAAATTTCAATGATTTTCCTGGAATTTTTTCAGACTAAAACTATCAACCGACCTTCCTGTTTTTGGACATGAGTATAACACTCAAAAGGGTAACATCCCTTATTGACAATTTTGCCTAATGCCCAGGTATTGTTCCTCCGAATCGACCTGATTTTGACAACTCTCATTATTATTAAATATGTAAGTTACAGTTTTTAGATATTAAGACTAATGGCGTTTCCGATTGGTAGATTCAGTGCGCACTGAGTGTATTTGCATCCTTTTAATCGGCCTGTAGAAGAAAAAGAGAGAAATAGAAAAAATTGCACTAGTTCCGCACTAAATCTACCAATCGGAAACGCCATAATATAACCAAGTTTAGAGGTTGATTGATTCAACGAAAATAATACAACTGGTGCTCATGGTGGTATTTTTTCAATTTTAGTCTTTTTATACCTGAAGATGGAGCGTTGAAGCTTCGAAACCGGTAGTACATAAATAAAGAATTTTTGGGATTTTCAAGACTGTTTTTCTTCAAACCTATCATCTGCCCAAAAAATGGACCACGTACAATCCTTATACATATAAACCTTCCTCTTCAATCACTCTATCTATTAAAAAAAACCGCATCAAAATCCGTTGCGTAGTTTTAAAGATTTAAGTATACATAGGGATATAGGGACAGAGAAAGCGACTTTGTTTTATACTAGTAGTGATGTAGTGATTATTATAGCCCTGAAGAAGAAGCGAAAGGCTTCGAAAGCTAGGCAATTGTTAAAGAGTAATAAATCTACGATACTGACTGTTTCCCAATTATTCGAACCATATAACAATATACATTATTTTATTTAATCCAAATAACACCCCTTGTCGCTTGAAAAGTAGCTGGAGCACTATGTAGTAATACCAAAGGGTAACCAGCTTTTGCGCTTTTTCTGATAGTTCTAGTTGTTGATAAGCATTTTGCAAATCATTTAAAGTAAAAACCTTACCTTTCCTTACTGAAGCTAAAATATCACTTGGATTTGGCAAAGGATAATGTTCTGTTCGAGATACAGGGTTTATAGAAGCTTTGTAATCCCCACAGATTCTTACCTTTTTGTGCTCCCCTCTACCCTTTTCAATTACTAGATACTATTGGAGATGCCCATTTGATGTGACTTACTTTTTCCAAAATGTTCAATTTCTCAAATCTATTCAATTCCTCACATACAGTAGACCTAAGTGAATATGGTACTGGTCTTGCTTTACAAAATATTGGTGTAGGATTATCTTCTAAAGCAATATCAACTTTAGCTCCCTTATATTTACCATTTCCTTGAGAAAAAACAGGATACTTTTTTTTAATTCACTTACAATATCATCTGTTTCAATTTTCTCATTGATTGTCAATTTATTCACAAATTGAAAAGAAATGTTTAATTCTTTAATCCAATTTCGCCCTAATAACATTGGACAAGATCTAACTGAATCAACTTTGGCAACCAATAAAGATAATTCTTTCTTTTGATCTCTAAAACATACTGGAACATATATTTTTCCTAACATTGTTGCTGCCAGCAAATGTATACAATTTTGTTTTAGATTCATACAACTTAAGGCGCCCAATTTGGCCACTTAAGTCAATCGATGACTTTGGAAGTGATTTTGAATTGCATTGCTTTATTTTTATTTTGTTTGTTGTCAATAACATCGTTGTCAATGAGTTTTTTCTTTGGACAATGAAGTATAATTTTCTGAAGCTGATACGATATATCGGCAGATAAATCGCAAATACTACATTCCAACTCTATGTTCCAACCTTAGACCGTTCCAACTGCGTTTACACTAGTTTACCTATTTTCTTATTAAGATAAAATCACCATTAGTATTGCCAGATTTTATGTTCTACTTACCTAGAAACTTTGATAAATTAGGCTAGGTAGGGTTTAGTAAGTTTCCGCTCTTTGGTAGAAGAATAACAAATTTCTCTCAATTGTTCCTATTATTTTTGGCAAATTATACCTATCTATAAAATATTTTAGTACTTATCTGACATCACTGGACACATTCTATTTCTATATGAACTGGTTGTAAAAGAACGCCAATCATGAAAGAGCACGTACAAAAGCTACCCCAAGCGGACAACGCATCATTGTGATACACAGGTCGTTCGAATGAAGCTAACGAACGGAGTCAGTCTGGGAATAACTGGACCAAACTCTAAACTCTCCTCCGCAATGGGTAAAACCTCTAAAACGCCCACAATATTTCACACTGAGGTAGGTACTGGCCATAAACATCTGTGCCCGCAAGAGTGCCTTATAAAAGAGGCCTTTTGAGAGAACACATTTACAAACTGTCTGACAGCCAAGTCGCTCTGAACGCCCTAGAAGCCATCGAGTGCAATTCGCAGTTAGTTTAGGATAGTAAAAATATCCTTAAGCAACTGGATGGGAGGAACAAAGTATCCCCTGATGTGGGTACCAGAGCATAGAGGACAACGAGTAGGCAGACCATCTCGCAAAGCAAGATGCATTAACACCTTTTCAATGCCCAGAGCCTTTGTGGACTAATGAAAAGCCACTTTTCCAAAGAAATGATCAGAACCGAATGCTAGCTCATTGAAGATTCATTCCGTGTCTGAGACGAACAAAAAGGTTCATATACAATATCCATCTCCATCTCAGCAAAAAGATCTGAAGAACTTCTTGACATAACCAGAAGAGACATTAGAACAGAATCGTCTCTGCTCACTATAGGCATTGCCTGGTGAAGTATCGCCTGAAAACGATAGGCAAATCAGACAATGACCACTGCAGATCTTGCGAACAAGTAACAGAAACTATAGAACATTTAATCTGTGAATGCCCCGCTCACTTCAGCAAAAGGCTGAAATAGCTTGAAGTGGTACGACTAACACCCAAAGAGGTGGGCACTTTAAACCCATCAGGAAGCTGGCCTCTGGTCGCCTTTGGGAGAAGCGTACAAATCTTGAACACCAACTAGAAGCAGAGTCACACACAAAATGTCTATAGAAAGGTAGCTTGAGCGGCTGGAACAAGCTGTAAAGACTTCAAATGCAATCTAGGTACAATGCAACCCATAATCTACAACATCACCATTATTTTAGCTTTCAGCATATGTATTTCATGATAGGCCACATACAAAGAAAATAACATATTCTCACTTATAAACTTTATTATTCAATTAGTAAACAAAAGCAACAATGACAGTCATGACTCCTTTAATAAAACCTATTATAAAGGAATCAACAAATTAAGCGACACCGTGAAAAATTACATTGCTTCATACAATTGCTTAATTTAAAAATAATTCGAGCCGTTTTTGACTTACAAAGACAATGAAAGCTCTAATGGAATGAGAAGATTTTTTTTAAAAACCTAAATTATCCTATTTACAGTAATATATCTTACAAATTACCTATATGAATTTTTTGAACAAGATATCATTTCAACAAGAAGTTTTGTAAGTATAAACTTAAAACTAGATAATATCAATCCTATCCTAGTTTACATCTTTTATCAATTAATATAAGAGCAAAATATACAAAAAATTTCTTTAGATGGTATTATTCGTATTGTATAATAATTACAGCGGAACGTTAACTTCCTTATAAATTACATTAGAAGGCCATAGATTACGGGAAATTATTAATTCGGTCAATTTTATAAAATTAAGTCACAAAGTTTAATCTAAAAACTTAAATTTTGGAAAGAGGAAGCAACAAGTAGATGCCATTTACTACTTAGAGTCGCCTCTTATTTGAAACAAAATTTTTCCAAGAAAAAATTCCATTTTTCGTACCTACCCCAACCACTATGATACAGTAGGCCTGTTCCAACACTTCCAACACATCAAAAACTTTCTCATGAACGGTTTGAAAACCACTCTGTATACGAATTTCGGATTCTACGCACAAACTTTAGGCTTTGCGCAGAATCGTGACGGTACACTTCACGGTTTCCTGCTGTGTTGGAACGAAACTATAGTGTCACATACAAAAATTGAATGCTTAGGCATCTAACAAAGAAAATTGCTATTTTGAGCTGCCTGCGGCCCCCAGTTAGCCATCCTACTGGTGCGGAAAAGCACATCTTTCAAAAAGAGCGCGAGACATTAATATTTTCCATACACCAACAAATTGAGCAACTTTATCTAGAGTAACTTAAGCGTCATCTTTTTGAGCATCTTCCATAGATACCAGAAAAAAAATCTAAATTTAAACTAGAAAAAGATCACAGTTCCTTTTGGGCCACTTGTTCCGGTATACACATGAACAACTTGGCACAGCCGTCATTAAAACCGTCAAACAATTGTTGCAACCATTTCGGCTTATTTTTCCACCATATAGTCACTAGATACACTGGAATACCTATCAAAATAATCGCGACACCGATACCCACTTCCAGAGGGCTTTCGTAGCACGGGAATATAACTAAAAAGGCACAAATGATCAAAAATGTAATTGGCAGTATTAAAGTCACTTTTATGGGCCTTTTAGCATCTGGCATTGTGTAACGCATGTAGAGTAGTCCGCAGACGCTTATGGTGATGAACAGGGCTTCTACGAATTGAACGTAGTTGATTAGGACGTAGACGTCTCCTGCGACTAGGAGGAATAGAGTTATGATGCACTGAAACGAAAACAAAGCCATTATTAGATGTACAAATTTATATTATTAAAGTTAAGCAATTAAGTTTTCCAATATTCAAGGATACTACTGTCTTATCTTTTCCATTTAGGAATAAACAGTTTTAATTAATGGATATCATAAGTCTCTAATTTCTAATGGTATTTCTACTGAATACAAGTAGGTACGTCTTTTTTTCTGAATATAACTGGCCTTAGCTACATCCTACATCCTAAATCAATAAATTTACGCATACAGCCTACATAACATCGCATGAAGCCAGCAGATAGTCCCTTCCCTTCAAATCTTAAATCTGCTCACTCAGAGGTTAATCTTAAAACAAATGTATAAAAAATCAGGAGTGGTTTCCCCACAATTATTATACAGATTGTAAAAGTGACTAAAATGCCTTCGGCAGCTGAAGTTGAATTGCAGGATGCCTTATGCCAGATTCACAAAGTCAGGGTTTGGCTGCCAGGCCAGCATGACGAACTTGATTTCTGTTCGACCCTTGGTATTCAACGGGAACCCTATTCCGTTCTTATATAGAAGAGTAAGTAATATGTAGGGCTTCGCGAGACCACAAGACTAGTTTTGGTCTTGGTAACAAGACCAAGACCAAGTCCTAATAAAGCTTCTCAAGACCAAGACCAAGACTTGACGCTCAAGACCAAGATCAAGACCAAGACTCTCTCTCGAGACTCTCGTCTTGGTCTTGGTCTTGAAAAGAAAAATCTACTCAATTATTTATTATAAATATACAGGGTGGTCCTCCGGGAATGACATCGATTGCCTATGGGAAAACTGTGAAAGGTAAAAATTTGAAAATTTGGCAACATAGCAATGTCGATGGGGGACATCCAGGTAAAATATTTTCAAGATGGCGGCATTTCCGGTCATACCGGAAGTTGATACCAACTCGGTTATTTTAAATAGAACAACCCGTATATTAATGTATTTATGGATTCTAAGGAAAATTCTAAATACATTTCATGTACGATGTCCTATACCTAAGTCTAACCGTTTTTGACATATTTAAGTTTTTATGTAAAAAATTACGTTTGCAGACCACTGATCTAAAAAATAAATGGATGAACAAACATACGGCTTGATTGGCAAAATTTGTGCGAAAATTTGGGGTCAATATTCTACGAACAGTTGTTCAACGGAACAGCCTAACGCCTGCGCCAGTGTATTATCTTTCAAACAACTATTCTAAATTTTGAAATTCCTTCATTTTCATTGGCCAGATTTTGTGCACGCACAGAACATGTATCTACTGCGCACGCTCACAGCTGTCGCAGTCAGTTGTTTTTGTTTAGATTATGACCTCTTAAATTAGCAGCATTAGAAGCGTTCTTTGTTTATCCATTTATTTTTGAGATCAGTGTTGCAGACCCTAAAATAATTGTCAATTTTTCCTATAAGGAAGCCTTTATTCTTTGATTGAACCTTGATTCCTTGTTGAAAAGGACCTATTTTATTAGATTTTCATTATGTTTTGATAACTTTTAATACAGGGTGCTTAAAAAATAAGATTAAAAATAAAGTTGAGAAAACTGGTTTATTTCTATGTACTTTAGCTTTGACGGATCCAAAGTTCTTGAAGTTTTCTAAAATTCTTTTAACAGTTTTTTCACTTGGTTTCTGTTTCTGCGGATATCGGTTCGCAAATGTATCACATGTTCTTGAAATAACTTTATTACATTCTCCATAAATAATAAATAAATTTAAATAATATAATCTACATTTGTATTATTTAATCTTCCCGGCATGATTATTATCGAAAATTATTTCAATTTTTGTGACAAGGACATGCACGTTCTGCTTGACATTCTGTCATGCGCAAGGGTGCTTTCAGTTATTATTTTTAGAGCAAAATCGCCATATAAAAATATTAAATTGGCAATATTTCAAAAACTAAACATTTTCGGAATAGATAACCTTACACAAACTTACCTTTATTTTTAATGCTTAACAAGATAAAATTATAAAATTTTGGGGTTTCCATTTGAAAAAATTGATTTTTGGAAGTTTTCTCAACTTTATTTTTAATCTTATTTTTTAAGCACCCTGTATTAAAAGTTATCAAAACATAATGAAAATCTAATAAAATAGGTCCTTTTCAACAAGGAATCAAGGTTCAATCAAAGAATAAAGGCTTCCTTATAGGAAAAATTGACAATTATTTTAGGGTCTGCAAACGTAATTTTTTACATAAAAACTTAAATATGTCAAAAACGGTTAGACTTAGGTATAGGACATCGTACATGAAATGTATTTAGAATTTTCCTTAGAATCCAAAAATACATTAATATACGGGGTGTTCTATTTAAAATAACCGAGTTGGTATCAACTTCCGGTATGACCGGAAATGCCGCCATCTTGAAAATATTTTACCTGGATGTCCCCCATCGACATTGCCTTGTTGCCAAATTTTCAAATTTTTACCTTTCACAGTTTTCATAAGCAATCGATGTCATTCCCGGAGGACCACCCTGTATACAAATACCAAAAAATTGGAGAATGTACTGAGTGCCCTCACGGCTAATGATTTACCCAGCCAGAGAGAGAGCCAGAGTGCATCAGGTAGGTAAGGTAGGTTTATTATTATGGTTCAAATAGAAATTTATTTTATTTGCAATGATATATGTAATCTTGTCATTACTGACTTTTTAAAAATTTGGAAGTGACACTTTACCTGTGTCACTTCCCTCTTCGATTTCCCTCACCGATTTCCCTATTCGACTTCCCTCACTCTAACTTATTTACTTTTGCTGGCAACAATGAAAACATGTCAGGTAAAAACGTCAAAGCAGTGAATGACACATTTTGGCATGTTTGTTTTATTTTTTTAATATTGAAAAAATTGATTGACTAATCATAATTAATGGTGTGCTTGCAAATAAAATAGTTTATTTGCAACCATATATGTAATCTTGACATTACTGACTTCTTAAAAATTTGGAAGTGTCACTTCACCTGTGCCACTTCCCTCTTCGATTTCCCTCACCGATTTCCCTATTCGACTTCCCTCGCCGATTTCCCTCACTGTAATTTATTTACCTTTACTGGCAACAATGAGAACATGTCAGGTAAAAACGTCAAAACAGTGAATGACACATTTTGGCATGTGTGTTTTATTTTTTTGATATTAAAAAAGTTAATGATTAATCATAATTAATGGTGCGCTTGCAAAAAAAAGTATACAAACCTCGGAGGAAAGTTTTCATTTCTGTCTCGAGATTAATAGTCAATCTCGACGCTTCGCGTCTCGATTGACAATATAAATCTCTGGACAGTAATGAAACACTTCCCTACTCGGTATGTAATATACTATTATTTTTAACCATCTATGAAATGTTGTCATTACTGACTTTTCAAAAATTTGAAAATGTCACATTTCTCTCTTTTCATTTTCCTGCTCCATTACCTGTCCCAGGACGGGAAGTGAGGACGGGAAATTTTTTCCGTCCTCATTTCCCGTCCACGGACGGAAAATGGAGCAGGGAAATATTTCCCGTTCTCATTTTCCTCTTCATTTGCCGACCTCATTTGGTTGCCCCGATTTTTTTTTTCAAGAAATTATGGTTAAAAATAAAATAGTATACAACCCTCGACGGGAAACTTCATTGCTGTCTCGAGGTTCAGTTTATCTCGACGCTACGCGTCTCGATAAACTATAAAACCTCTCGACCAGTAATGAAGCATTTCCCGTCTCGGATTGTAATATACTAATACAAACCTCGGAGGAAAGTTTTCATTTCTGTCTCGAGATTAATAGTCAATCTCGACGCTTCGCGTCTCGATTGACTATATCTCTCGACAGTAATGAAACACTTCCCTACTCGGTATGTAATATACTATTTTTCCTAGATACAGAATGGCAATTTTATGGTGTGTTTGTCAACTTTCCTATTCCGTTGATTGTTCCTCTGTGTTGTGGAATGCTTTTTGCGGTATATTTTGACATGAAACGCTCTTGCTGGTAAAAATAGCCTGTGAAGAAGACCAAATGCATGATCGAAAGACGAAACGTCGGCATATTTTTTTTCAGAAAGGGAGTTTGATTTTTTATTTCCTAAACCCATTATCTCTGCTTTGTCGTTATATGTTATGTATATTTTAAAAATTTGGAATAAATTTTTTCCAAGACTATCAAGACCAAGACCAAGACTATCAAGACTAAGACCAAGAGTAAGCCAGTCTTGTCTTGGTCTTGAAATATCCAAGACCAAGACCAAGACAGCATTTATTTTTCGAGACCAAGACCAAGACTGGCCAGTCTTGGTCTTGGTCTTGGTCTTGCGAAGCCCTAGTGACATGTTAACCTCTTCCACAAACAGGGTTCGATTTACTATTAAGCCTCACAAGTCACTAAGCCAACCCCTCATATTGGGTACGGTACACACTCGGAAATCTACCTCTTGCAGATATGCAACAATTTTTCCCGTTTTTCCTGGGTTCCCAGAAAATATTTGGAGAACCTGATTAGCGTGGTAGCGGATAATGGGCAATTTGCAGAAACCACTTTTGGATACACTCTCCAAGTAAAGAAGCCTGTCGTTCCACAGTGTCTAACTAAAAACTACCCACTGAACATGCAATGTTACGAAAGCCTAATGCAATATTACTCTGATATGCTCTGATCTTAGTTTCGCAACATTACAATGTAATATTGAATTATTTTTGATACAACATTACGTTGATAAATTACAAAATGGAATATCCTTGAAATTTTAACGCATATTAGAAATTATAACTTGTACGCAAATTAACATTGTAAATATGCATTTAAATTGAACTGGTATAAATTTTGCAATGTTATAATAACTACCAAATGTAAACTTGCTGCAAAATTGGAAATATAACTTGTAGGTAAGGTTACATCGCAAAGATGCCTTAAAGTTGTCTTGATATTATTTTGCAATGTTATAATTTAATATTGAATGTAAACTTGCTGAAGTTTTGCCGCCATTGATAACGATCGGAACGACATCGGG